CGAGGTTCTGATGCAAATCTATGGTTGTTAAGGAACACTCAGTGTTAAGAAAGAAAAAAAATCAGGAAGTGATATTGAATTTTTATCTTATTAGTCATTTATTTATAATTATATTTGCAACTTATTGTTTATGTTATTTCTCTCAAACACTTTAGTTGATGTTTATGCGATTTATATAGAATGAAATCAAAAATTGCCTCCTTCATGGCTAAATTATACACAGTCAAAGGCGAAATGAATAATGCGTGATACGATGTTCTGTGTGCGATTACACTATGCGTACAAAATGTGCCAAGAACATTAAGGACATTATGAACGTTACAGGTATATAATTTAGTCTCAAGTGTTTAATTTTGAAAAAAAATTCCCAAAAATATTTATGGAATAAAGATTCAAGATTTCCAGATTTTAACCTCGGAAACTTCAAATCGTGTTTTTTGGTTTTTCGTGTAAAATTGAGACGATCTCAAACAAAACAAACAAATTCTTGTCCAAGAATTTTGAAGCCCCCCTTTAGAGACATTTTTGTTATTTTCCATTCGTATGAAAGCGTAGTGGCAATATTTTTTTGAATTTTTTGAGCAATCTGTTAGAAATTGCTGTTATTGCATTGGATGATTTGATTTCTGTTGATTTGGGGTCAACTTTAATGTTTAAGTAATACAAATTAGGTTAGATTGGGGCCTAAAACATAGGTGAGAGATTATGTAAGTGAATTAGACTAGTTTAAATTTATCACTTTTTCCATAAAATGCATTTTAACTTTTCTATATTTGATCTTTTAAACTTACTACACAAATTTTTGATATTTGATTGCAAAAATTTTAAGAGATTTTTATTCCACATATTCGCTTCCTCCCCCCTCCCCTCTCCTATTACTCTTCAAATCTCCTTCTGCATTTCACGAGCAATAAGTGCAGGAATTTTCTTGAACATGAGGAATTTCCCCGGAAGAATTCTCACACAAACGCACGATTACTTCCTGAGCGATTACGCCAGTACAAATTTTTTTGTACCAGTTGTCCTCATCTTGCTCTTGCATTACGCTTTACGATTCAAATCAAAGTCCAAAACTCTTTGCTCTTTCTATTTATCGCCTTTAATGACAGCTTGAGGCGGAACAAACTTCCATTATGTTCCACGCTTTGAATTGACCTTGGAGCACAAAAGCTTAGCTGGAGCTTGGGAACTGCCAGATATTCTCAAAATTAGAGGGAAGCGCTTGTCAAAGCACAAAAAACGAGCAGAATTCGAGCAGCGGCTAATGCTATTGTTAACGGATGGTGAAATAATGGAAAAGGTGAATGGACATGACATGAGACGTTAGAAAGAATTGCGAAAACATGCAAGAAGGAGGAAGATGAAAATTATTCAGCAGGGTGATATACACTGTGATCGTAAATGCACAATAGAACAGATTTCGTATTGTTTTGTCATAATTTGACTTTGAATGGTGAGGTTCACATTTGCAAAAAAACTGAATAACAATCAAAGAACTGTTCATTTATCACTATAGGCTTCTTTAGAAACTGTTTCTTTCAAGTCACAACGTAAACAACAAAGAATTGGCAGTTTCTCTGAGACTATATGAATTGAAAGTCTTGACTATATCTGCCCATGATCGAATATTTTTATCCTCTAGTATACAGTTTTTCTTTCGAAAATATTTTTTCAATTTTGCAGCAAAACAAAACATTGAATTAGCCAGACTTTACTATAATGTTAAACAATTTCGCAACAGCAAGAAAAGTGACATAATCACCAATCGTAAGCAATTTATTCTTTACCTTAGATTTGTCAAAAAAAAACTGGAACAAAAAAATGCTTGGGTGGAAAGGGTAAAGAATTTAGAGGTTTGGATATAGGGTGAACTGACAATATTAATGTTTTCGAGCTATTATTTTTCCCTTTCCTTTCGAAAGGGGGGAAGATTACAGTCTTAGAAAATGCTGCAAAAAATGGGAACAGATGGGAGAATAGGAATATAAAAAGCTGACGACCACTTACTGAATTGAAACGAATAAACAAAGTTAAAGCAAAAAGATGCTAGAAGATAATGCAATGGAATGACTCGAATTTCAGTTATGAAAAATCTTCTAATTTCCAAAAGATTGTACAGGACCATGATAATCGTTATAAAGAAAATTCTTGGGTCTTTGTGGTTCATGAGAGAGAAAAAATAACAGAGGAGGAGGAAGGCCGATTTTACCTCATTTTTTCCGCAAAAGAATTTACCTACTATGGTCACTTATTTGCTGTGCTATTTCTCTTTCGATGTTTTGAGTTCAAAATTGAATTAAAATTAGTATGTTTTGATTATTTATGAGAAATGGTTAACTGCATGTTGTGAGAGCAAGAGTTCAAAATGAGGAGTTCAGAAAGTGACGCACGACCATTGAATAATTTAAAATCTTGTATTGCATCTATTAGGTTGTCCCGAAAGTTCGTTCGCACCATTTTCAAAAAATCATAACTTCTTTGCGTCATAACCTTTTTAAGCAATTCAAATTTTATTAGAAAGAGTAAGGCATGTAGTTTCCAAAAGTCCGCTGGAGACTTTTCAATATGCTCAGATTGCAGAGATAAAAATGAAAGAACGAAAACATCCGAAATTCGGAATTTTTGAGCAAAAATTCTAAAAATCTATAAACTGCGCGATAAAATCCAGAAAAGCCATTATCCTAATTTTTCTTATATTTGATTACTAAATGAGTAAAGTTTGGGTTGATCGAGCTCTTCTTTCAAAAGTTATGATTTTTTGAAATAAAATGCCGAAAAATCAATCTCTTAGGAATTCTTAGAAAATTTATTTTTCGGCATTTCATTTCAAAAAATCATAACTTTTGAAAGAAGAGCTCAATCAGCCCAAGCTTAACTCATTTAGTAATCAAATATAAGAAAAATTATGATAATGGCTTTTCTGGATTTTATCGCGCAGTCTCTAGATTTTTAGAATTTTTGCTCAAAAATTCCGAATTTCGGATGTTCTCGTTCTTTCATTTTTATCTCTGCTATCTGAGCATGCTGGAAAGTCTCCAGGGGAATATTGGAAACTACATGCTTTGCGCTTTCTAATAAAATTCAAATCGCGCAAAATTGTTATGATGCAAAGAAGTTATGATTTTTTGAAAATGGTGCGAACGAACTTTCGGGACAACCTAATATATTTTCTTTTAATTTATATTACTGTTTATAGCTCCCATGCGACTTAGATGATTTAGATTTTAAGCGCTAAATATAGCAAAATGGTAATTTGTAATAGATTTTTCTTTCAGAATTTTTCTATGAATTGTTTGAGGAAGTTTTTTACTCAGAAAAAAATGGCGAAGTCGTCACTTAGCACAAGAAATTTTCTACTTTTGCTTGAATTCCATTTCAGTGAAAATTTGACGTGACAAGAATAGACGATGATAAATGAGCAACATTCCCTAGGCGACGCTTGCAAATTCTCATCAAAGGAGAAGCGACCAGGAAATTTTGCAAGTTTTTGTGCGAATTGCATTCAATTCAGTATATTGCACATCTAGTGGAATTGAATTTCCACTTTGTTCGACATTGGTATAGACAGAAGTGCAGATGAGCGTGTTTTTGAAAGGCAATAGTGCACTTACAGAACAAATTTAAAATATTTTAAAAAAACTGGGACCTTCAGGTTTTCAGGTGTTTTAATGATGAATCCATTTATGGAAAATATTTAATGAAAAGCAATTAATGACCTGTTGTATATCTCAACCACACTGCTACAAAAATTCAAAAAAGACTGATATTTCTAAAAATATTGAAAAAAAACAAAAAATCAACATAGGCATTTGGCGCATTTTTGTGTGTGTAAAATACGCATCATACAACAGTTCAACAAAGCACTCGGCGATTAGGTGGTGGGGGGGGGGGGGAGGTGTTTTTCGTTTGCGAAATTTTCACGAGTAAAAACTGTGAGTACAGCGGTTCATTAGTGTTCTTTCATCTCTTATGAACATAGTGATTTTGCTACCCTAACTCGCATGCGCATGATCAATCGATATATCGATTAAGCAAGTGACTGAGGGAAGTCATGAGAAATCAATACATTGATTATCAGGAAAATCCTGGAATAACTTTGTTTTTGTTGTGGGTTACATATAAAAAGCAAGCCCTTTTTTGTTGAAAATGTTGTTTGAAGTACAAAAATTCAATATATCGGTTGAGCATGTGTCTAAGAATTGTAAAAAATCAATATATTGATTATCATTTTTCCGGGTAAAATGTTTCCGTTTCTGTTCCGAGTTACAGTCAGAAAGCGAGCACTTGCTAGGTGTTATTTCGAATTACAAAAAATCGATATATCGATTAGCAAAGATCAGACATGCAGAAGCTAAAGAGCCTGCCGTTATGCTGTAATTGCACAAAAATAAGTTCCGAGTATTCCGTTGACTCTATTATTGTTTTTCGGATAATGACATAAAACACAAAGCAAATTGTCATTGGCAAAATCCAATTTTTTGTCCAAGTTTTTCAGAAAATAAAAAAACTAGTTATACTAAATGCAAAAAAATCAACAACTTTTTGCATATAGGTTGAGTTTCTTACATTTAAGCCAGTCTTTTTTCTGGATATTGCTTAAAATTCTTACAAAAATGGAGGAAATTTAATCAAATTTTAGCGCGGATATGAGCGAATCAGTTAATCGCAGCCCGTTTCGGCAAAAAAGATTTCAAGAAATTTCAGAAATTTGATAGCAGTGGCTGTTATTAATTGGTCAATTTACCCCTTTTTTTCAATAATTTTTTTTTCAAATTGGATAAAGTTTCCACATTCTAACTTATTTTTTCCTATATATTTCTCCAAAATTTTCATGAAAACAGAGGGAAAAGCAATTGAATTTTGGCGCAGTTGTAATTGATCGGTAAATGGCAGTCCATCCCGATGAAAAAAGTTTCCTTCAAAAAAATTAATCACAGTGACTATTGCTCAAGGGAAATTTTTTACTTTTTTTCTCCAAAAATCCGAAAAATCAAACTTACCAAAAATGATCAGATTCAATGTAAGCGTTGAATGAAGCATTGCAGCTGAGGCAGTGGTTGCCACTGACTAGCCAAGCCGCCTGATGGAGGCGGATCGCGACGACGACGGCGGCGATGGAGACGGGGACGCCCAACGATGCTCGGCTTCCTTCCTTAATCCGGCTAATACGTCTTGAGATTTTTGAATTCTAATCCGAGGAGAAGGAGAACGAAGTAAGCGACACCAAATTTATCCAATGTCACAGAAAAAATGAGAGCAAAATTCAAAATTCGGGCGAGGAAGCAGGAAATAGAAAGAAGAAGAAGCAAGAGACTTGAGCAGATAAATTCTTAGTGAGAGCAAAGTAATGGGCACTGTAAGGGGAAGGAGAGGCGACAAAAATTTTTCAAGTGAAGGGGCGTAACTTAAGCGAGCCTCTTAAAAAATTTAGGATGTTATTCACATGTTGTGCATATATTAGGTTGGCTGATAAACATTTCGGTCGCTTTTGCGGCTCTTACCAATGCTGCAGACAAATTTTTGTCCAGTGTTTGGTTTCTGGAAAGGGCAGTTCAATGGGAATTGAAATATGAACTGTATTCGTGTAGAACTTATCTTTCAAGAAACCAGATCCCAATAGAAATGAAAAAACCCCAACTTTTCTAAAGTGCGCAGATATGAGGAAGTTTGGTTTTTTTGGATAAAAGATCTTTGAAGTGCAAATTACATTATTCATTGTTATACAGTAAATAGGGAAAACTTCTCCGTACCCAAATACCAAGGTACTATTCTCTACATCCATTAGCATGAAAACGAAGCTTAGGAAGTCAAAGAATTGAGCTTTTGGAAATTTAGCCATGTTGAGGCATATCGGTCCTAACTGATAATAAAAATCTTGAATATTGATATATGATAAAGGAAGCTTTGAACTACTTTCTTATAAAGAATCATGGATAGAAAAAAAAACAAATTTTTTATAAACATTTGCATGCCAAAACTAACTTATTTTTTGGTGAACTCAATATTTTGAAAATTGAACCCCGAACACGAATTCTCAAATTCTCGAATTTTCACATGCGTGAAATGTAAGGTACTGGGAAATCGTGCAAAAGTAAAATTGAATTCTTCCACGAGATACAACTGTGGAAGGAAATTACGCAAGCCAGATTTTTTTAATTCTCAAGGCAAATACAGATTGAAAATCTAATAATATATAGTCCAAGAACATGAGCGATACGATTTCGATGAAGTTTCGGTTGAATTACTTTTTTCGAAATTGAAGCATGAGGATGTTGATTCTGGAAAAAGCAGAATAATTTTTTGTATTATTGGTTTCTTACTTGAGCTTGGCCAAAAACGTTTTCATGCAAACATTTCAGCGATTTGGATGCGCCAACAAAAACTTTGTGGAGATAAATAAATATTGCAAAGAAATTGCAGTAGCTTACGGTAACTATCAAAGATCCTATTTCTAAGTTTATACCTAGTAAAAGTGTTTGTGTGAATATGTAAATGGGAAAAGTGAACTTTCCCTAATGCACTCGAGGACGAATCGAAGAAAGTTATGAGATACATCGACGTCATTGCATTAATTAGCTAAAGGTGTTGATGTGGGATGTAGTGCAAAACTTTCACTCGGTAATTTATGTACTGGGAATAAATTTTATGTGCTCAAAAGAACTTTTTTAAAACTTTCTAACTGATGGATTTTGCGCTGTCACGCTGTCAAAAATTTGACTACGGGAAAGTCATAATTTCCTCCTTCTGCAAACAAAAAAATACCGTTCTCAAAACAGGCAAGAGACAAAATTTGTGCTTTCTAGCTGTACTTGAATTGAAAATCAATAACTAGCTCGGGTATAGTAACCAAAAAAATTTTTTTTGAAATTTGGTCACCACAAATGCTGTAATATGAAACTGATACTAGTGTTTTTTTTGGTCTTACAACTTCGTTCTGCGTCAGAGAACGAAGTGTTGACAGCGTGTCTCATCAGACGACTGACCGGAACTTTAGAACGTTTGGGAAAGTCCCGTCAGGTCACCTACGGAACTTCTGTAAAGGTGCTGCGGAAGTTCCGGAAAATGCAGACCACAACAGCAAAAGGGAACACCTAGGCGAAATTCGAACCTTACTCTATTGACTGTGAGACTCACTATCCTTTGCACTAAGGAATGTTCGAAAAACCACTTCAATTATTGCCGAGACAACATCGTAAGAGACAACACATTTAAACTCTTGCGGAAGTAGTGGCGGCCAAAGTGCTGCGAAACCAGTGTCTTTTTTTAGAACTTCCGCATTGTTTTGTAACAAGTCCTGCAGAAGTTCCCTCTTCAAGTAGTCTGACGTAAAATTTAGAGGAATTTCCTATTTCCAGCGTTTCCACTTTTGCAGTAGTAAAGAAAATCCTGCGGAACCGCTGCAAATCAAGCTTCTCCTGAAGTTCCAGTGAATTGTCTAATGCAAATAAATTTCTGGTGTGAATAATCAAATGCAATATCGCAAATTACAAAAAAAATAATATGATTCAAAAAATTCTTCAAGTGTTTCTAGTCACTATTTTTCGAAGTAAAGACTGCTCACCAACTTACTAGATGAGCTTTTTTAGAAATTGTAGCTGAGCTTTTCTTACTGTGGAGCAAATTCTATGTGTTCCCTAGAAATGAAAAATCCCAAACAGCAGTGAGAGAAGCATGATGATACTCCAGAGGCTAGGTAACATTTGATCAATGGACAAAATCACAAAAGAAAGATTCATACACATTGTCGACAAATTCAAAGACATTTAAAACAGTTCAAGACATCTAGCCTTCAAAAAATTTCTACTCCGGTGATGGGGAGGGGGAGGGGGATACATCTTATATATAAAGCTGAATGTCTGTCTGTCTGTATGTCTGTATGTCTGTCTGTACGTATGTGCGGAATAGAAATTTTTATTTCTGAACCGATTTGGACCAAACTTGGCACACATATACTTCGGGGCAGGGAGCGTGTCATAGGCTACTTTTCGTTATCGATCGATATCGATTTTATCGATTTTTTGCAAAATTTGAGCTACAGGGCTGGGAGTTGGCACAGGGGGGTAATCGAGCATGCTGATTACAAATATATTATTGACAGGCCCGGGCGGAGCCGGGTTTGCCAACTAGTCTGACAATAAGACGGAGAGCCAACTTTGGGTAGCTACCGAAGCGAGAAGTAATGGCAAAACTTTGAATTTTCATTTGAATCTTTTTCAGACAATTTACGACTTCAAAAAGTGAGGTTTTTGCAGCACGCTCATATTTGGTTATTACAGTTATTTTTATTATTGTGAATAATATTCTTGCTTGGCTATGGGACTCCTCATACTTCGCCCAAAAAGCCCAAAAACACCGAAAAGCGCCCAAAAAAAGCCTAAAGGCGCCAAAAAACCCAGAAGTGCCAGAAAAAGCCGGAACGCCCTGTTTCATCAGGCTTTTGGTAGAATTCTGACATTATTTGATGTGCAGATGACAGAAAACGAAACAAAAAGACTTCATTGCGAAAACAACACCCCAGCGCCAAAAATTGCGCACGGGAGGGGTTGCAGCTCTTTCTAGCGCTTTTGGGCTTTTTCGGGTCTTGAGCGCTTTTGGCTTTTTTGGGCCTCTGTAAGTTCTTTTGGGCTGACGACAGTGCCAAAGCAAAAAATCTGAAATCCTTTTCTAACGAGGAAGAGAACTGGTTCTTTGAGCGTAATAAGATCAGGAGTTCTTTGCTCAGAAAAGAGCAGAAAACAAACTAAGATAGTATCCCATTTAAATATTTATGCATTCAAAATATGTCGAAACCAGGTGGAAAACGAGCTATGAATAAGTTTCAGCGGGCGGAAGTTCAATTTGGAGATAGTGCATCGTAATGACATTCGAGCGCACTTTTATACAAACGTACATATAACACGGGAATAAATATTTTGAGCTTTCAAGACAGCCAGTTTAACAAAACATTTCATGTCTAAAACATCGTCTCGAGTTTTAAAGAGCAAAATCCAGGGAACTTTCCTATCTGACCCATTCGATCAAAAACCAAAGAGCAGACAAGTTTTCCAATCAAATATGCATTGGAAAGCGGATAATGTAACAATGTCTAGAATTCATTGTTTACACTCTGTTTTCTTTTCGCGCAAGAAATGATCTTTTCATCTGTTGAAAAACCGTACTGAGCAAATGCGGCTGCAAAAGGATGGCACATCCGCAACTCCCATTTCCACCTAGATATAATATTACCAGTCCGAAATGCAAATAACCATAAAACCTTAATCGAAACTTGGAAAGAGATTAACAGTTTGGCCCAAAAGTATTAGGTGGGCCCGAAAATTCGTGCCGCTTTTTAGACCTATCCTTATCCGGAATAACAATAAACTAACACTCTGAGCTTTGTTCCATACGGAATTTATTTATCTTTTCATCAGTGATGCTTTTGTTTGGATCCCTTCAAATTCTTCCAAATAATCGCCCCAATCTCCAACTCATGCATTTTATATACCCCAACATTAGATATTTTTCAAAATTCACGTTTTGGACTTTTGGAAAATCGAATAACAGTTGGATAGAGTAAAAATAAAATGCTATAAAACCCATTTCTTGACGTCGATATCTTTTACAAAACTGGTAGAAACAAACGAGTTTCTTCACATTTGCGAAGTTGTAAAATATAAAATCGCTGTAAACACTATGAAATCCTCGCAAATTCAAATTTCTAAAAATCGATTATGATTTAACACTAATTCTAACCAACAAATGAGTTTTTACCGCCTCGAATACTGAAATTTAAAATTTTCGGGTTGCAGCCGGTATGCATCAAGGAATTAGAATTATGGCAATTCTTCCCTCGAGGCCTTTACGAATCAAAAAGAAAAAACGTCTTTCAAAAAGCGGAGAAGAAGCTGCATTGAATGCCACTCTAACTGTTTGCCGTCTGATGTTCGAGGTTTGGGATAAACAAATAATGAATTTGGTAGCATTAAGATAATAATTTTAGAGAATTTGAGAAGCCAGCTACTGATGCCAAAAAATGTATCAGATTGCATTTTATGTACTCCATCTGTCGCGGCTCGCGATCGACCGCTCCTCGCAGCATGTGGCCGGGAGCACCGTGTTGCCGCGCGTCTCGGCCGTGAGCACGGTCGCCGCGCTTTACGGCGGCTACCTTGTTCGCTC